ATATATGTATTAAGATTGGGATCACTAACATTTTCCAGTTTTGCTCTAACAACATTAAAGGTTTCTTCTAATGCAGTTTTATGTCCAAAAGAATAAACAGAAAGTGATTCTTTTCTAACAGTCGGAAGTTCCATTTTAGTAGATACATCTTTAGTTAGGAAGATCTCATTGAGCCATTATCAAAAAGAATTCTGACATTTTCAGATTTATCATTATTTCGGATCATGCAGAAGCCGTTTGTAATAATATTTATTAGATCTATTTTCATCGGATTATATGACGAAACAGCGAAATAACGCTCGATCCGACGTTTTCTTTTGGTTTTTATTATCTTTTTTCTGATGGATGAATAACAAATAGCTTTCGAGTGTTTATTAAGCAGAAGGCACAGTTATTTTTTGTTTACAATTTTGGATCCGGTGAAACCGACCCAAACATAAAAAACACCGCGATTCACTTTTAAGATCTCTTTTTTCTTTCTACACTTAAATTGCAATCCGCAGATTTATGATTTGTGTTCCCGCAGAACGACACTGCGATTCGGATGACGCCGCTAATAACTCAACTGTAGACGGCTTGCTCGTTAGGCTGGAGAATGTTTATGTTGAAGGGCAAATGCTTTTCCAATCGCGAATATTTTTCTCTAGAATATAATTAACAGCAGCCGCGCGTTCTCTACTGAATACTTCGTTCCTCAAAAAGGCTAACAAACCTTTTAAATCCCAATTTTCGTCTTTAATTTTTCGGCTATAATCAAGAACGAATTCATTAGGAAGTATTTCAAAATTAAAGGCGTTAAGAGATTTCAGATCTATTTATCAGATCTATTTTTAATACTTCAACTTCTTATCGTACTCGGCGTGACCTAGAAGTTTTTTATCCGTTTATATCATAGGATTTCTAAGGTGAAGTACTTAAGAGTTGTCCTAAATGCGAATTAATTAGATGTTCTTTACCAATTGGAACGTAACAGTCAAGAGCAGCTTCGTAATTATTTTCGATGAAGCGAAACCAGAAATAGCTTTGGCGGCTGAGCCACCAAGAAAGCTTTTAGAAATTAATTTTCTATTTTTGATAAATTCGGATTTTTATCAATCGCATTTCGAACTGACCTATGAATTCAACCAATCCGAAGAATCACCAATAAATTTAGAGATCGTTAATTTGGGAAGACGAGTGAATTTTTTACTTTCGTTTGGGATACTTTAACGTTTTCATTAGAAATGTCTCTATTTGCATTGTCCGAATTTTCAACTTATTCAACTCTTTCAAACTTTTTCTTTCCTCTAAACGCCACCTTGAATTTTCTCTTCATATTCCAAAGCGAATGAGATTTCAGTTCAAATTCGTCTCTTCGACTTTAATTCTCGTTCTATTTCAGCGTCTAAATGCTCAAGGATTTTGATTTTTCGTTTAACTGGTCTAAAATTCTTCTAATACTTTACATTGATATTACTATCATCTTTATTCAGTTCGGTTTCAATTTTCTTTAATATTTGGACACTCCGGTCCTCAATACCTTTCGTTTCGATTTCAGTTAGCAATAAGATCTTCCATATATATAAAAATAGAAAATACAGGCTTACCTGGCTGTCTTCGCATAAAATGATATCCAAATTAAAAACAAAACTCTAAATTGGCCAAAGGTTCTCGGCACCGATGCACCATATTGCGAAAGGTGGTTTCTAATCTAATGAAGTGAAATACTTCAACAATCTACAAAATAATATTTATTTACAAAGCACTTTAGTTGCCTCGAAGGTTCACTGCTAACTAACTACGTCGCAAACTAAAAACTAGCATTCCTTTTCAGAAGCGAAGCGCCCTCTAACGGCGACACATAAATCATTTGGGGGATTTTTCCACATGGTCTGAACGTAAGAATATAAAACTACTAACTAAAACTCTAACTAAAAGCTAACTTTGAATTAGGATGTTGTGTAGCGAATTTAATTTAATTAAGTGATTCATAAAAATCAAAATTTTAATTTGTAATTATTCAAAATTTGAGCTACACAAGTTTGGTTATATTCTTTTTGGGCCTATTAATTCTGTGTAATATATTTTGGCTTTCGAGTTTACGCGAACTGCGTCTTCAATCTTGTACATGCAACAATGGATAAGTATTTTTTTTCTACGTAATAAACTCAGTTTTTCATGTCAAAAATTAATTTGATTTCTTAGTATTTAATATCATTAGTTGCAGAAAAATTAGCTCTTTAATTTGGCATAACTTTCATTTTCTAACTTTAATTGCATTTCAGTTATGAGCTTTAATTAGTAGATTTTTCTTCGTTTCGCTTGTGATTTAGTTAAAGGGGGGATGAAATGCCTTCTTTTCCGGTTGAAAAGTCACTTTTTGCGAGTTTTCAGAATTCTTTCATTGGGACCGCTTGCAGGGTTGTTGAAATTCCTTAATTTCCCCTTCCACAAGGTGGGGTTATTTTGGCGAGGGTTTGGCGACGTAGAATTTCCGTTGAGGTTTCAAAGTAGTGGTTTTGGCGAGTTTGATAACATGAGGGTATGCTGTGTTTGCAACTATTTTAACTTTCGGCGAAGAAATGGGTTTGCGCCAACTTGGCAGTCCGGCGCTCTCCCTTTTAACGGGTTGTTTTTGGGACGAGGTCACTTTTTGCACTTTTTACACTTTTTTGCACTTTCGACACTTCTGTTGCCCTTTGAATTGGCCGGAGGCGACAGCTGACTCCGACGAAGAAAATGGAGCTTCGCCAGATAGACCTACGGGCCTCTTGGGCTAAGCGCTGTGAGCGCGGGCCGTAGGTATGGGCATCTATGTCTTCGAAAAAAAAATCGAAATTCTTTCATCAGTTTTTGTTGTGTGTGTTTGTGTATCTCAAGAAAATATACAGAAGTAAATTTCTAGAAAAATGATGCGTTCCAGCGCACCCATTGATTTTCGTCTTCACTCGAGACCAGAGCGTTAATTTAAAACCGTTGTTTTTGGAAACCTCATTTGCTCATCCAAAATCTACTAGAACTTCAAGGCTACCATAATGTAATTAAACACGAATCATATCTGTTCGACGAACATTTTTGTCCATTCAACAGGCTGCCAGCACTGTATTTCACTTATCTTGCCGTATTGGAACCTCATTTGCTCATCCTAAAATCTACTAGAACTTCAAGGCTACCGTAATGAATCCATACTGTTCGACGAACATTTTTTTTTCATTCAACAGGCTGCCAGCATTCCTCATGAGCTTCTATGGATTTTTTTTTTTTTGTTTGATGCTCCTTCTGCTCATGGAACAGATAAGTTCTTTTCTTTTCTTTTCTTTTTTTTTTTTGGTTAATTCTTGGTTAGTTAAATATTATAGATTTCTGCAGTTAAAATGATTGAATGAATTAACTTAATTGTTAATTTGTTGAACCCTAAAATTTTTTTTGTAGTTGATAACTTTATCCTAACTCTATAGAAATCATTTTCTTGGTGTATCAATCAAGTAAAAGCATTAAATGGAATAAAGATTTATAACCTTATTAAAATTATTGTAACTTAATTACTTAATGGTTAAGAAAATTAAGTTCTTCAGGAAATTATTTACTTTAATGTTTTTTTTTTTTTTTTGAATTACTCATTGGTGAGGATGATTTGTAATAGTGCTTGTATTAGAGCATTCTTGTTTCTCTCAGGACGAACTTGTTTTGTAGAATAGTAAATGTCATTACTTATCTTTATCCGGTTAAACCATATTTAATTAATCTAAGGAAAAAAATTAAATAATAAAAAATTATGTGCAATAATAGTATTTAAATGATTATATTGAGTGCAATATTAAGCAATATTTTTGTTGTATAGATGAATTCTGTGTGAAGTAGAAAGTGTAGCTTGTTAAACTTTTTTTTATTATTTTTTCTCCCCGGGGAGGGTAGTGTTCTTGAAATTTATAGTTTATTTTGGTATGTTTTACCAGATTTGCAATATTAAATTTAATAGTAATTACAAGGATGTTAAAAAATAATTACTTGGAAATGTTGAAACAATAGTTCAAATTTTGTTGAATATATTTGATATTTTTTTTTTTCACTAATGGATATATATATAATTGGCATTATAGTTAAATAAATAAGTTTTTCTAGATCATTCAAAGGTTAAATTTTGTGTGGTGCTCATGATTTTCACCCTCTCATCCAAGTTGATTCAGGTTAATCGGAAAACACAACGCAAATGTACACAGGGCTATTGATATTAGTATATTTAATGTTGTTGAAAAATTTAAGCGTTAGTTTGTCAACAGAGTAGGAAACCTTTTTTGGTACCATGACTTTTCACCATAACATATTGGTGCCGTGACCAGGAACCAAATTTTAGCATGAAACAATTTTGTGTGTGTTTTTATTTTTGCATCACTTTTGGCTTGTCGCTTAAGTGGAACTTAATTTTGACTGAGACTGGTGATTGTCATGTGCACTATTGCATATTTATGTGAAAGTTTCTTCCACATGTCTAGGCTTTTTACTGAAACCCTACTCGTTAGTTAGTTACAGTGACGGGCCTATACAGTGGTCGTATTTACAGTGTTATTTTACACTATTGTTGAGGTTGCATACCAGATATGTACTAGTGATACACACTTGGACTTTGAAACACTATTGTATCCAAACGCAAACATTTTCACGCAGTTAACTTAATTGGTTTATTTAAGTAGCTTTTATGTGCAAAATTTTATATTACACTTTTACATATTGATTGTGATGTTTTTCTACATGTGGCTGAATTACTACTCATTCCCATTTTCCAATTTATGTTTGCAACATAAGGTTAAAATGCACACTTGTTGATCGCACATTGGGATACATTCCTATTTTTTATGTGCTTGCAATTACTGGTAGCAGGTTAAAATGCCAAAGAAAGTGCCAAAACGAGCAGCCCGAGCGGCTAGTAATAGTATGCAATAGGACTTGGGAGGAGAGTCAAGAAGTCATGGCTCTATCAGTTTTTGGTTCTGATCCTCTGGATTCTGTTCCTCTGTTCTCAGGTGCAGACAAGGGAATTAGTCTGAATGACTTCTTAGATAGGATTGATCTCATTGCCACTCATGTGGGTTGGTCAGATGAAGATAAGTTAACAGTGATCAGAGTCAAGGTGGCAGGTGAGGCTGCAGAATTAATTAGGAATAATCCTAGGTTAAAGAAAGAAGCCAGTCTTGACTATGTTGTGAAAGCGTTGAAAGAGAGGTTCAGTTCAGTGCACCAATTTGCACTCTACATCCGTGCTCTTATTCAGGCTTTTCAGAAACCCACGAGTCAGTGCGACAATTTGCAGCACGTATAGAGGCTCTTTCGTACAAAACTGTACCAGTGGAAAGAAGCAGTGACCCTGCAGCAGAAGCACAGAGACAGGATTTTTACTCTGTCAGTGTTTATCGAAGGATTGCAGTTTGCATTTGCGACGCTTGTTGCTGCCACAGAATCACAAAACTTTTGCATCTGCTAAACAGCATGCAATTATTGAGGAAGACATGTGGGCTAAGAGCCATGCTAGTAGTGATTTTTGCAACAGCTGAGGTTTAGAGCAGTGAATGCTGCTAAGCCAGCAGTCGAGAAGGCAGTTACACCGCCATCAGTAACCAACTCAGAGCTCACTACAGCTATTAAGATGCAGCAAAAAATATAGCTCAGCTTACAAAAATGATGGGCTCTCTCCAAACACAGGTCAGAGTTTAATATCACAAGTACTCGTTCAAGACCCCTACAGCCTCGTTGTTACAGATGCACAAGAATAGGGCATGTTAGCAGGGACTGCTATGCGAATATGTGGCCTAATCAGCACTCTAGACAGGGTCAACAGAGATTTCGAAATAACCAAACAGCCAGGAGACATTATAATAACACCACACCAGCTGTTTCGGGTACTCCAAATACCACAAGTGTGGCTACAAATGCTTTAAATCCCCAAGCACCAAGTTTTAATTTAAACTAATTCAGGGTGGGGAGAAACCAGTCTCCGTTTCGTCTCCTAAAACCCTTTTGGAGGTGCCATCGGTTTTTACAGTATCCACTAGTGAGGCGTCTTTGCCTATTGTTGAGGGATCTATTTTGGGGAATAAGTAAAGTTTTATTGGACTCGGGGGCAACTGTAAACATCATAGAAGCTAATACATTCAATGTTTTGGAAATAAAATCTCATTGGATTCATGTAACATATATTTAAAGGGTATTGCTGCAGAAAAAGTAAAAATAAATAAGAAAATGAATTTAACAATAGAATTTCAACAACAATATTTTGAAACAGAATTTTTAATTACTGACACACCCTCTTTCATCTCAGTATGGTGCTTTATTAGGAACTAAATTTCTTGCAGACCACAATATGCATTTGGATTTCTCCACTTCTCAACTCTTAGGATCAAATTTAATTCTTAAATGGAATCCAAGTCAGCCTAGTGCTATGAATAATAAGATTTTCTCAACTTCAGTGTCTCAGTCATTTCGTTACTCTGTAACCAAACATAAATTACCACCTTTTTCTGAAAATATCATTAAGCTCACTGCTCGTTCTGAAAATTTCACTACTGATACTGTCTTAATTGAACCTTTAATAGAACATGCTCAAAGTCAATTTTCCATAGCCAGGTCAGTTAATCAGACTTCTTCATCTAACGAATTTTATGTCAAAATTGCAAATTTTTCACCGAATACACTACATCTCAATAAAGGAATGAAATTGGCCAGTGTCCCAACCTGTGAATGTCATCACACCTAACTCTGAACTTGTAAACAAATACCACCATAGAAACAGGTGAGGATTTCGAGTCTTGGGGTGGTGAATTTGATCTTACACATTTACCTGAGCAGCAACAACAACAATTTATCACACTTCTCAATCAGTATAGTAACATCTTTGCTGCCTCAGTCACTGAGTTAACAGGGTGTGACACATCTTACACAACATCAACTTGCGTGATAATATTCCTGTTAGGCAAAAGCCTTACAAAGTACCTTACCATCTCAGGGATGAATTAGATAGACAGGTAGCAGAGCTGCTTGAAGCCAACATCATTCAAGAAAGTGACAGCCCTTACAGTGCTCCTGTTTTATTTGTTAAGAAAGCGGATAACACCTACCGTTTAGTCACTGACTTCCGCAAGTTGAATGAGAAAACGATAGAAGACAGTTTTCCTCTGCCTTCCATGATTGAATTGATAGAACAGTTAGGAGATTCAAATTATTTTTCCACACTTGATTTAACTTCAGGGTTTTTCCAGATGAAAATTCATCCTGATGACACCTTCAAAAGTGGTTTCTCGACTCCTTCTGGGCACTATGAGTGGTTACGAAACACCTTTTGGCATGCGAAATGCTCCTAGTTCCTTTCAAAGGTTGATGTCTATAGTTTTGGCCAATCTTTCACACCATTAAAAATAGGGATTTACATTGATGATATTGTCATTGCTTCTAAAACTTTTGATGAACATTTGGAAAAATTGAAGTTAGTTTTTGATAGACTAAAACAGCATAATTTAAAACTTAACCCTTCTAAATGTCATTTTCTGAAAGAACAAATTACGTATTTGGGATATAAAGTTACCAAGGGTATTATACAGCCTGATGATAAAATAAAAATTTAAAGACCATTCAGAGTTTTATTGCACCTAAAAATAGGAAAGAAGTTAGGCGATTTTTAGGCCTTATTGGCTTTTACAGAAGGTTCATTCCAAATTTTGCCCAAAAGGCACTTCCTTTAACTCAGCTCACTAAAGATAAAGTTCCATTTTATTGGTCACATGAAGCTCAGCATGCTTTTGATATTCTAAAAGCTGAACTTCTGAATGAACCCATTTTGGCTTTACCTAATTTTCTTAAACCTTTTTCCTTGTGTACAGATGCTTCTAATTATGCATTGGGTGCTGTCTTGTGTCAAGAAGATTCTAACGGTTTCCAACATCCAATTTGTTATGCTAGTAGAAAATTAAAAGGTCCTGAAACACGTTAGTACTGTAGAGAGGGAAATTTTGGCAGTTGTTTGGGCCACAGCACATTTAGACAATATCTTCTTGGTAAACCATTTACAGTTATATTCTGATCAAGCTTCATTATCTCATGTTTTAAAACTTAAAGATCCCACTTCTAGAATTGCACGTTGGATTATGGGTTTATATCCCAGTTTGATTATAAGATTGTTCACAAACCGGGTAGATTAAATTTAACAGCAGACTATTTATTTATCTAGAGCAGTAAATGTTACACAGTTAATTCAAACTTCCATTACTCCTGAATTGTTGGAATTATTCAAAAAAGAACAAGCTTCTGATCCTTCTTGCCAACAGATTGTAACTGATCTTAAGAATAATAAGTCTCCTACACCTAATTCTCAGATATTTTTTGTAAAGGAAGATGTTTTGTATTGCAAATACAAGAAACCCAAGTCACGTTGGCAGAAACAAGATAGACTAGTTGTTCCTAAAACACTAGTATTAAGAATTTTGCAGGAGCATCATGATTCTCTTACTGCTGCACACTCAGGCTATCACAGGACACTTCATAGAGGTTCAAAAGTCTTTTTTTCTGGAAGGGTATGCATAAACAGGTGCACAATTACATTAAGTCCTGTCACTCCTGTATCCAGAGGAGGGGTCATAGACCTGCTCATAAGGCTCCCCTTATGAGAATGCCTATGGCTACCCGTCCCATTGAGCGAATTGCGATGGATATAGTGGGTCCCCTTCCAGTTACTACGGGCAGGCAACAGATATATTTTGGTCGTAACTGACTATTTTTCACGATGGCCTGAAGCTTATCCTTTGCAGGACACTACATCCATATCCATAATTGAGAAATTAGAACAATTTATTTCAACTCATGGTATACCTCAGCACATTGTTACAGATAAAGGTACTAATTTTATTTCTCAAGCTATAATGGAAGTTTATAAGAAATTGGGGATTACTAAACATACTACTACGAGTTTATCATCCACAGTCTGATGGTGTAGTAGAAAGATTAAATGCCACCTTAATTAATTCACTTAGCCACTTAGTTTCTCAAACTCAGGAGGATTGGGATAGACATCTGCCTTTTACCTTATTGGCACACAGAACTGGTCGTCATAGTGCACTTCAGGAATGTCCAGCTTTTATTTTATATGGCAGGGATTTGTGCTTACCAATTGATTTATTATTGCAAACCAATTTTAGAACTTATGATGACACAAACAATTATTCTAAAGATTTGGTTTTGAGATTACAAAAGGCTTTTTAAATTAGTCAATCAGAATTTAACGGAGGCTGCTGATAAGCAAGAAAATTTACGTGGAAAGATTTCTCATGATAAGGACATAAAAGTGGAAGATTTGGTGTATTTATACACTCCAGTAGTTCAGCCAGGTATGGCTAGAAAACTCTCTAAATTGAATCAGGACCTTTCAGG